TCAAATAGGCATTCTGAATTTTCAGCAAAAGAAATGTCTGCTAAAAGGGACAATCAGTGCTCCATGGAATTGCTAGCAACATGCCTTTCTCTTTGGAAAAACCAACCTCCAAAAACCACAGAAGAAAATGTTTCAAAACCTTTAGAAGAAAAACAATATAATGCATCAAGAACTAGTACAACAGCGGTTGGCCCTTCAAATCCCATGAATGAAGTTCATGTGAAGAATTTTTGTTCAGGTGTTAGAAATTCTCAGAAAATAACCACCTCGTCACAAACAGTCTTGTCAGTTCTCACACCAGTTTACGATTCTTCAGATGTAGCTGTTGGAAAAGGAACAGAGCTTCAGATTGCTGTGGTTTCACCTTTAATTCTTTCAGATGTCAGTACTGTACCTGGGAAAGAGTTAGCTCCTGAAGTCGTATCTGAAACTGTATATCCAGTTGTGAAGGAAGGCAGTGTTTGTAGCTTACAAAACCAGCAGGCAGAAAATGCAACAGTAACTGCTGGTTTGCCCTTTGATGTTATCAGAGCAGTAGCAAGTGCTACTGTATCAGCTGAGCTATCACTGCCTGGGCATAAAGAAAAGCAGCACAAACCAACACAGACTGATCTAGATACTGCTGATGGCAGCCTAGGGAAACACTCTCCCCAGGGTGCTGAAGCTTTGCCTAACCCTAGGGACAGCACCATTGTGAGTGGGCCTATATTACAGATTGAAAGTATCTGTTCTCTTGCAGAAGGTGATGTATCTTACAATTCCCAAATAGCAGAGATATTCAACTCTGTACAAAATGAGCCCCAGAAACCTTCACCTGATCAGCAAGTAATTAATAGTCAACAAGAAGAACAAGTAGATAAGGTTGCTGAAAATAAAGACTTAAGTTTTCTGAAAGACAAGTGTATGCAGTGTACAGATGTTCCTCATGAAGTCACTGAACAGCCAGAGCCACTGCAGCCTTTAGAGACAACATCTGATGAGTATGTTGAAGCAAACGGAGAAATCCTAGAGGAAAGCAGTAAGGAGAATCCTGGTGAAAAAGAGATGACTAAGGACATATTGTGTTCACCAGCTGCTGTTCAGCAAGATCCTCAACCTCAGGAAATTGACACAGCCAGCAGTAAGTCAGGACACAGTTTTTCTACAGTAAATGAGATTAATGATGAAAATGAACCTGTCTCATACCTACATGACCAGCTGTTAGAACTTCTAAAAGAGTTTCCTTATGGCATTGAAACTATTGCCAGGCCTGAAGTTTATGTGGGCCAACAAAAGACACATGAAATCTTAGAAAATCAAACTGGTAGTAAAACTGGTAATGTGTCTGGGGATAACACAGACCAAATAAAAATTACAGTATTAAACTCAGAACAAATCAAAGAATTATTTCCTGAAGAGGATCAGTGTAGACAAATTGGCAGAACCCGAGAATACAAAAATCATTGCAGAAGTAAAGAGCCTGTGTGATTCACAGGTCCCCAGAGAAGAAAGTCACAACCCTGGAATGTTGGATCTGGAGAAAGATAAAATCCATTGCTGTGCCTTGGGCTGGCTCTCAATGGTTTATGAAGGTGTGCCACAGTGTCAGTGCAGTTCCATGGAAGAGAAAGAGAAAGACCAGTGTTCTTTGGAAATCTCTAATTGCAAACAAGGAGAGCAGGCCTGCAATAGTGGAATCACTATTTTTGAAATTAATCCTATTTCTAATAACTCAAAAAGTCCTCTGATCCAAGAATCTGAGAAAGGCCATTTTTCTGACATACATGGTGAAAAGATAAAAACATCTGAAACAAAAAACAGCAGCTCACCAAGGGTAGAACAGGAATTAACTGGTCATTTTTCAATGAAATGTTACCAGAAAGATAAATCTACAACAAAACAGGATAGCTCACTGAAAACAGAGCAAAAAATAAAAAATCTTTCTTCTAAATGTGACAAACCAAATCCCTTAAAAAGCAGTAAAATACCAACCCCTGAAACATTTAATGTGGTAACTTCCAACTCTGATAAAAATATGCCAGCATTTTCTAAACAAGATTCTCAGGGAAGCCTGCAGAAGAAACACCTATTCCAAGACTCAGATCCAGTAAAAGGACATGTATGGCTTTTGCCAAATAAAGATCCACGCAGGAGGAATACCTTTTTAGTACAGTCAGTATCACCAGAAAAGAAAAAGTTAAAATTCAAATCGGGTAGCTCCAAACTGAAATATTTTGAAAAAAGAAAAATGGACCATTTGCTTATCTCAGATGTGGAAATAAAAAAGAAGAAATACGAAAAACAAGAGCAGAACAAAAATGCTGGAGGCACACTCAAATTATGTAGTACTCTGACTGAACCAAATGAAAGAGCCTGTGCTAAAGAAAAGATAGTGACAAATTCTGAGCCCTCAGACTCAAAGGGAAGCTCCTCTAAGAGTACTAGAGTTATAACTGTGCAGGAATATTTACAGCGGAAAAAAGACAAACATGTAATAGGAAATAATGCCTCCAAAAACATCTGTGTAGAAAATGTGCCATGTGACTCTGAACCCATGAAGTCCAGTAAACATTCTGCATCACCTAGTTTGGGAAAATTAATTGAGGGCCAGGGTGTCAGTGCAGAGACTTTAAAAGAAGTAGAACATAATTCCAGCAGCCATGGCAAAAATCTCAAGACCCACCGTTCTGAGGAGACTAGGCCATACAGTGTGTCAAATAGTAAAGAGAAATTTTATAGGACACATCCAGACAAATCTTACATTGATAAAGCTAAATTAGAAAGATTGACCAGTATGAGTAGTAAGTCCAGCCAGCTCCAGGTAAAGGAAAAAAGGAAACAGTACCTGAATCGAGTTGCATTCAAATGCACAGAACAGGAAAGCATTTGTCTCACCAAATTGGACAGTGCATCCAAGAAGCTTAGTAAAGAGAAAGAAAAGAGTACAGCATGTGCACCCATGACAAAAGACTACACACACAAGCCCATGTTGGAGTTTAAATTATGTCCAGATGTGCTATTGAAGAATACAAGCTCCATTGACAAAGGGGATGATCCAAGGCCTGGGCCTGAGAAGGAGCGAGCACCTGTGCAAGGTTCAGTATAACTTTCTTTTGGGGGTATGGTGTTGGAGGAGATAGTTTCACACAGTTCAGGCTGGTGTTAAATTTGTATATCATCAAGGTTGGCCTTTTAACTCTGATCCTCTTGTCTCCCATGTGGTAGAAATGTAGTCCACAGGGCCTAGGTAGTGTTTTTTGTGTATGTGTGAGGTACTGTAGAGGTGTAGTCCTAGGATTGGGTGAGTGGGATGGGCTAGAGTTGGGGCGACGGTGAATCAGTGTTCATTGAGCAACATTTGTTGTGTTTGTTGCCCTTTTATTTTAGATTCTAATAAATTAGTACTGGCAAATTTTCCAGACATTTTCTGGACACATATTTTATTAAAACCCTAAGAATCTGCCCTGTGAAAAGCATTTCTTAACCTATGATGTATTAGAAAGACTTTGGTGGATTGTTTTCCATTGTGCTAAAATAGAGGAGTAAAGATATATCTGAAAACAAGTATTTAAACAGTTTCAGGAATAAAAACTACAAAAGAAGACTGGTTAAAATGTATCCCAACAAGGACAAAGATGCCCGAATCAAGTGAACAAACAGGTAAAACCCCATGTGTTTCCTTTTGTTGTTTTGTTTTTCATTTACCAGGTTATCTGTAACATTGATATAGTATTATCACAGTCCATGATTTTATTTGTATTCTTTTTTAGTCACCTGGTGTTTGTTTCTGAAGGTAAGAAAGAGCTCTGTTTTCTCTGTCAGTATGGAATGGGAGGCCAGGATCTAGTTCCCTTTAATAGAAAAGTAATACTATCATACTGGATTAGGGAAGGGAGTTTTGTATTTTTGACCTGAGTAGGACCAGAACATAAAGTATTGAATTTTCTGGATCTGAGCTGACCTCAATTTTGACATTACAAATGATATGTAAATAAGAATATTGTGTAAGATCTGTGGCAGGCTGTATTGGCCTCCAATAATGTCTCCCAACCTCCATTTGGTGATTTGCAGGCTCACTCATTCAATTCCCTAAATAAGGTCATCAAGAACATTCCCATTTGTCATTTGATTTATTACATTGCTACATTAGGGACTTGAACCTGATCTCTCTCTTCCAAGTCCATTGAGGATAGTGGAGTAAATAATTGTCTTGGTAGCTTTTAGTGTGTTGGAGATTGGGCTAGTAACTATCTGGTAGGCTGGCCTTGTATTCACCATGAACTTCTGATCCTCTTGCTTCTACCTCTCACATGCTGAAGGTTTATGTGCTGCTAAGAGCAGAATCCAGGGCTCTGTGCATGCATGGTAGGCAAGAATTGTATTATCTGGATCCTCATTATCTGTTTAATTTAAAGTGGAATGAATATATTTCAGAGAGTAGAGCTCAGGAGTTATGTCTTAGTTTTCCTTAGATTAAAAGGCAAAGACACATACTTTTAATCCCAGTATTTGGGAGGCAGAAGCAGGTGGGTCCCTGTGAGTTCAAAGCCAGCCTGTTCTACAAATTGAATTCCAGGAAGCTGCTTTGTAGACTAGGCAGGAACTCACATAGATCCACCTGGCTCTGAGTGCTGGGATTAGTGTTCCACCAATACCTGGTGTAACAATTTATTATTTTTAATTAGTGTCTAAGTATGGCTCTCTACGTCTGTGCACATAAGTGCTGTCAGAGGTGTAAGATCCTCTGGAACTGGATTTATAGGCAGTTTTTAGCCACCAACATGGGTGATGGAAATAGATCTTGGGACTAGTACTATTTTTAAAATTGTATTTTTTTTTAAAGAGGAAATTTGACAAAGGTGAGTATAGAGATTCAAATGTATATAGGCAAGCATATACAAATTGAGTAATAGAAATAATGAGTGTTTGGCTTGCATTATCGAGGCTCTGTATTTGATACTCAGTGCTAGCCCAATAGAGGAATGGTTAAAGCAGGATTAAAAGTGAAGAGGGGAAGGAGGACCCTGAAGTGAGAGAGAGCAGCTCTAAATGCCTGGAAGCAGAAGAAACAAGGCCTGTGGAACATTGAACTAAAGGGTTAAATGAAAAGGGGAGGTACAGGCTTTTCTGAGGCTATCTATCTTGCCAGAGTAGAATATTAAAGTTATTTCTTTTCCATTCACTGTTTGGAACTGGCCAAGTTCTGTATTGCTCACTTCCCTCCCTTCCTTCTTTCTGTCCTTCCTCCTTCCTTCTTTTTTTTAAGATGGTGTCTTATATAGCCCAGGCTGACCTTGAACCTTGTATGTAGTTGATACTGACCTTGGTCATCCTATGTCCACCTTCTTAGTGCAGCATTGCATCATGTATCTGGATAACTTTCTGTATTTTCTCCACTTTGTTTTGTTTTGGGGGGAGAGGGTTATGTGTTTGTGGGTGCAGGCCCTCAGAGTCCAGAAAAGGACATTGGATCCCCTAACCATGTAGGTGCTGGGAATCAAACTTGTCTCTCTCTTGCCCCCACTCCTCCCCAGACAAGGTTCACTATGTTGCCTTGACTGACTTGGAACTCTTTGTAGAAGCAGGCCTCTTCTTAGAGGTCCACCTGCCTCTAACTCCCAAGTGCTGGGACTAAAGGCAGCCACCACTGAATCATCTCTCCATTTCCTTTTTTGGTTTTTTGAGGCAAGCTCTTGCTTTGAAACTCAGATTGGCCTTGAGCTGAAGATCCTCCTGCCTCAGCCTTGAGAATGCTGTGATTATAGGTATTTACTGCCATTTCAGCTATATAGCTCATTTTTCTGCCCCCACAGATACTGTACATTTCCCTTCTCATTTTTCATTGTGTTTATTATATTGAACACTAACTAGCAGTTTTATTTTCTTAGATCGGGCTGACTCAAGACTCTCTAAGAGAAGCTTCAGTGCAGATGAATTTGAAACTCTACAAAACCCAGTAAAAGACTCAAATGTCATGTTCCGGACTTTCAAAAAGATGTACCTGGAGAAGAGAAGCAGGAGCCTGGGGAGCAGTCCAGTGAAGTAGCTTCGGGATAGAGTGGTTTTGCTTTTACCACCAGGAAGTCATCTTTCTTTTCAGGCTCCCTTGCTGGAAATAACTCAGGACTTTCACATTTGGAATTCTCAGCCAAGGAGTTCAGTTACAGCTTATGTTTCTCATTGATACTGTGTGACTGAAATGTTGGATTAGCTGCTGGTGAGCAGGCAGAGAAATAGTTTGTATTTGTCTGGGAACTACAAAATGTGTGATCTTCTGCATTGTTGAACCATGTTTACTGTTTTAAGTCTTGCTGACACAGTGGTGCACACCTGTGATCCTAACATTTGGCACATGGAGACAAGAGAATCAGGAATTGCTTGTCTTCAGCAGCATTGAGGCTAGTTTAGGCTACGTGAGACCATCTCCAAAACAAAACAACAGCAACCAAAAAAAACATGTAGGTGACTTAACACAAATCATACTCCGAAATGCTGACATCCTGACATAAACTGTTCATCAGCTGAGATTTGTTTGACTGGAGCTGTAAATATATTTTTGCTTCCTAAGCACATTAGCAAAACTTATTTTTCAGAAAATGCCCACTGTGAATGTCAAAGTATATTCCTAAGTATTTTGTACTTTATTGTATAGGTTTTTTCAGAAGTCTTGTTTTATACTTTTGTTAAACTGAATGGAATTTTTGGAAGATGTCTTGACATTACTTTTCATACTTGAAATAAACATTTATTTTTTAAAGAACTACAGTTGAAGTCTTCATGGTTCCATTTCTCTTTGTTTTCTTACCCTTACTAATAGACACATTTGGATAAGTTAGGCATGGTGGCACACCCTCAGGGAGGCTAAGGTGGCCTTTGCTATGAAGGATACACAATGTTTACCTCTAGGAGATCATTGGTTATTTTTAGAAAATTCTTCCCTCTCCCAGTGGTGGAAATGGAATTCTAGACCTCGTGCATCTTAAGTGCTCTGCCACTTAACTATCCCCCTAGTCCTGTTTCTTTTTTCAGCCCTAGTGTTGTATATATAAACATTGAAACATGAAAGTACATTGAAGGTAAAAAGACAAGATTTTAAGAGAATTATGCAGAAAGTTCTTGTACATTCACCTTCCATATTGCCACCAATCTTGGAAGAGGCACCCACTTACTAGCTTTTTATGCAAGGAGTACACATGATTATTTGAAAATGCTTTTGTACTTTTTTCCATGAAAGAAAAAACACTGAATGGAAGACTGAGGCAGGAAGATTGCTGCTAATTCAAAAATAGTCTGGACTAAGGAGTAAGATCCTGTCTCAATCAAACAAAAAGGTACATTTGTATGAAGTCAGATTTTCTTAACAATATACTTGCCTTAGTTGGGGTTTCTATTGCTGTGGAGAGACATCAGGACCATCAGCCACCAGCTGCTGTGGGCTCACTCAGTCAAGAGGACCAAGCTTGACTCCCTGCTACTTACCTCCACCCAGCGCCAGTGGGTTATACTATCCCTAGAACCCATTTCTTTGAATTGGGTGGTTTTACACAGCTTCAATTGAGACTAAGGGACAGACACTCTTCCAGACTTAGAGATTTCCTAGAGCCAGTACATCCAATCCTGTCCATGGCTTCAGCCTGCTGCATACCTGCTGCTCATGGTTCTAGCCTGCTGTGTTCTGATTGGTGATGGGTAATCAGCACCTGCAGGTTGCCATTAAGTTTGGTTAGAATCCAAAGGTTGAACAACATTGGAACAAGTCATATCACAGCATCAGTGTCCTTGGACTTGCTTTGGCGGTATACCTACGACACTTGCTGGCCAAACATTATCATTGCAACTTAAAGTTAAGACTATCAGACAACTTTCTGAGGATTTAATTTGAGGTGAATTACTGGATATTTTTGCATTTTAAGCTAGTAAATAAACTAACACATTTTTCTTACAATTTGTTAACTCCTGCTACAACAATGGCAGATAATATTACCATCCCAGAATTTAAAAATCTTTTCGCTTCTACAAGGGATGGAATTTTAAAAGAGGTACACTACCTACTTGGGACTTATACACTCTTAGCCATAATTGCTATTAGCTTGGTAATATGTATATATCCATAAAGAAATGGTTTCATAATAGAACTAAGAATGAGGAACTTATAGAAATGATACACACTTTACAGACTTGTAATGAGAGCTTAGCAAAATGGATAATTTGACAAATAATTCACCAAATGGAACATGGTAATGAACTCTTAACAGAACAAATTAATTCCATGAAGATAGAAAATTGTTTTTGGAAGGCAATCTGCATGCCATACATATAATCTCTAAGGATAACAATATTAAATCTCTGGAATCATATGTAAATGATGAGAATAAGAAACTGATTTAATGAAATCATTGGAAGTTTTTACACTTCAGGTGGTGCATAAATTATAGGCCATAGAAGACCTTCTTAAAACTGATACACCAGGGTTCGGGTGATGGTGTTTCATGCCTTTAGTCCCAGCACTTGGGAGGCAGAGGCAGGTGGATCTCAGTGAGTTCAAGGCCACCCTGGTCTACAAAGTGAGTCCCAAGACATCCAGGACTGTTAGGCCGAGAAACCCTGTCGTGAAAACAAAAAAAAAAAGCAAGAATCCCCACAACCCTCCTAAAAAAACAAAAACAAACTGATACACCAGGGTTCGGGTGATGGTGTTTCATGCCTTTAGTCCCAGCACTTGGGAGGCAGAGGCAGGTGGATCTCAGTGAGTTCAAGGCCACCCTGGTCTACAAAGTGAGTCCCAAGACATCCAGGACTGTTAGGCCGAGAAACCCTGTCTTGAAAACAAAAAAAAAAAAGCAAGAATCCCCACAACCCTCCTAAAAAAACAAAAACAAACTGATACACCAGGAGTTAAGGTACAAACTAAAGAGAATAAAAAAGATTTAGCATTGTCAGTACCTTTCAGTCACTGATGACTTACCAAAGGCCCTATCATCACCAGCTATGGTATATCCTGTTACTATTATTACTAAAAAGCCAGCAAATACTGAACACTCAGGAGGTTATACAGAATGCAAATGGGAGCCTATACATATGAAAGATTAAAAGGTATTAAGGTGGCAGCAGTTTCTAATGGCATGCATTCATCATGTGAGGCAATTAGTAAAGGCATGGGCTACAAGACATAGAATAACTCCAAATGACTGGTTTTCAATTAGTCTCAGCTGTTCTAGAACTTGGTCCACAACTGCAGTGGAAATCAATATTGGCAGGAATAGGATAAGGCCCTTGAACATCAAGGCAGAATCAAAGGATATGAGGCTTCTTCCCAAGATCAAATTTTCGGTGAGGTGAGGGCCTTTATGCTGATGCAGATACTCAAGCTACATACAATGACCATACCTTTGTCCCTATGCTGTACAGCAGCCTGGAATACTTGGAACGAGATTCAAGAACCAGCGAAAAGAATTGAGTTATATACTAAGGTTATACAAGGCCCAAAAAAGCCCCTTAGTGACTTTTTGCAAAGATTGACTAAAGCTGTATAAATGGGGATAGCAGATTCAGAAACAAGATGAGTATTCGTTGAATCTTTAGCTTTTGGCTAATTTAGAATGCAAAAAGGTGCTTGGGCCCTTAAAGATCCGGTCACACCAATAGATGAATGGCTCTTGCACACAGCCAATGTTGAGTCTTTTGACTATAACACTGTGACTTGGGTAGGAGAAGTAATCTCCAAAGGTATGAGGAGACATCAAAATATTAAATGTTTTAATTTCGGTAGAATAGAACATCTGAGAAGAAGTTGTAGACAAGGAATTCCTAGAAATAATGCTTCTGAGAATAACCCAAATAGAAGACCCCAACCTTCTGGATTGTATAGAAGATGGGCAAAGGCCAATATTGGACCAACAAATGTAGATTGAAAAGAGACAAACAATGCAACCAACCCTTTACCATCTGGAAATGCCTTGGGGGGTCTCTCAGTGGCCCCCACGTCAAAATTGGTCCAGTCATTCCCAGTCACTGTTGAGGACAATCATCCCCAGAACAATTAGAAAATCTAGTACCTATTGTAAAAAATCATACTGCTCTGGATGGTAGAATAGCTTTGGAGGATGAATAAAAAATGTAAGGAGGAAGCAGAAAATGTGTATCTTGGCAGACTTCTATAAATGACCAAAGGCCAAAACTAAGAGTAAAATTAAATAATGTTATACTCAAAGGATTACTGGACACAGGTGCAGATGCCACCATTGTCACTCCAGAATCTTGGCAGCCAAGTTTGCCTCTTCAGGAAGTAGATGTTCAATTTCTAGGGATTAGAACCCTATCTCAGCTAAAACAAAGCACAATATGGGTTGAATGTATAGGGCCAGAAGAACAAAGAGGAAGGCTGAGGCCATATGTGACTAATGAACAATCATTCTAGGGGGTGGTGATCTATTGCAGCAATGGAATGCCCAGATTAACATTCCTATAGAATAAAAACCATAAACCAACTCATGTTTATGAAAAAATGTTATAAGGAAATATATAATACAGACACCAACCATTCAGGTTGTACAAAAACACAAAAAAACAAAACTAGTGTTGAACTCATAGCGGGACCAAAAGCCCTGCCCTAACCATGACAATCCTGTCTGGGTGGAACAATGGCCTATGACTTCAGAGAAACTAGAGGCTCCAAAACAGCTGGTTCCAGAACAACTAAGTGCTGGATATATTGAAGAATCTACCAGTCCTGGGAATTCTCCAGTATTTGTTATTAAAAAGAAATCAGGAAAATGGAGAATGCTTACAGACTTCAAGTTGGATATCAGAAAAGCAAAGCAGCTGGTCACTAGCTCTTAATCAGTGGAAGGTTCTCCCACAGAGAATGTTACATAGCCCCACCCTGTGCCAGTATTTTGTGAGGCAGCCTTGGAAATAATACATAAGCAATTTCCCCAATCTATAGTTTACCATTGCATGGATGACATTTTATTTTCTGATTCAAATATAGATAATTTAGAAAGAATGTTTGAAGAAGTAAAGAAAATTTTGCCTTGTTGGGGATTTCAAATTGCTCCTGAAAAAAATAAGAAGAGGAGATTCTATTAATCATTTAGGCTATAAAATAGGTTTACAAAATGTTAGACCCCAAAACATGCAAATTAGGAGGGATTAATTGAAGACTCTTAATGATTTTCAAAGATTGTTAGGAGACATTTCCTATCTTCAGCACATTGTTGGAATAATCTTATCAATTGATTAATTTTAAAAAAACCTCATCTGGTGACATGGACTTAAATAGTCCCAGGAAATTAACAGCCAAAGCTGCTAGAGAATTAGCATTAGTGGACGATGAGTTACAGATTGCACATGTGGATTGAATAGCTCCAAAGCTTAACTGCATTCTAGTCATAATTACCCTCTAAGCATTCCCCTACAGGAATTAATGCAGAGGGAAGATATTATCATAGAATGGATCTTTTTTCACATAACCTGAGTAAAAAATTAAAAGCTTATGTGGAAAAGAACTCTGAGTTGATTCTAAAAGGAAAATTGAGACTTTGTCAATTAAAGGAATAGATCCCACATAAATTATAATACCTTTTACTAATGATGAAATTGAAAAATTATGGGTAGAAAGTGAACCCTGGCCACTGGAGTTGGTGGCGCTCGCCTTTAATCCCAGCACTCAGGAGGCAGAGGCAGGCAGATCTCTGTGAGTTTGAGGCCAGCCTGGTCTCCAGAGCTAGTGCCAGGAGGATAGGCTCCAAAGCTACACAGAGAAA